AAAAACACCTTTAAGGGCTTTTAAAAAACAAAAATCGAAAGAATAATAAGCACCTTTAAGCAGTTTTTAAAAATGCTACATACCAAGTTTCAGGCAATTATATTAAAGCAAATTTCTCTGCTCACCTATCTAAAAGTAAAGACAAAAACTAGTTACGTAATAACCATAACCAATTTTGAATTTTAAACAAAAAATAATGAAGTCACAATACACCAATAATAGAAAGCAGGATAAAAAATACCATCTTTTATTTAATGTTTCATTAACTCTTGTTTTACAATTAAGTATTTTCAAAAGCCAAAAGTAAAAGGTATTAGGCATGTATTGGCACTTTTAAATACAATAACAAAATTCAAATACACATCTATTTAGGGAAAGATAAAACTTTATTTCAGTAAAATGCATTTTTAATTGACGGGAAACAAATTTCATTTAACAATCAATCGTACAGATCATATTCTTTCCCCTTATTTCTGAATAAACATTTTAGAATATAGCAATTAATACAAACAATGTTAACACACACCTTAAAACTCTTATGCAGTTATAACATTATTAACTGGACATAATGTTTAGTAACATTTAACATTTTAAAAGGTTAAACAAATACCTCAACCGGAAGGATTTGTATTAGATTAAGAAATAAATAAAAAAGGAACTAGGTCAAAATTTCTCTTCCGATAATGCAACTTTTATCCAACATTTTTAACTGATTCACAGAACCAAATATTTCAGATAAAGTACTTTAACACTTGTAATATTTTAATACATATAGGACCTTATAATTTTTAAATTTGATGTAGACTTTTTTTAATTTATTTAAAATTTTGCTTTAAAAAGCATAAAAACAATTTTTCCTAAGCAATGGCAACATTTTAATTTTTCAAAAAAAAAATTTTTTTTTTCTCAAATATTAACTAAAAAAGTACCAAAAAAAACACTTGAATGAGTGATTTTTTTAACACATTTGTAAAAGTTTGACAAAAATAATATTGTATCCAAAGACAGTTCATAGTATAAAAGTATAGACCTTACACCTACACAAAGTTTGCATATGTATGGAAATTTAAATTTGTATTTTTTAAAGTAGATATTAGGGATTTAAAGACAAAGCATACTATTTTCACAATCCTTTTCATGGATTTGAAATCTTATGAAACAATTACTATAAGTTTACAATTTGTTAAAAATTCAATATTTTCTAAAGTCTAAAAGTGGTGTTTAGAAGTCCATTTTGGGGTCTCATCCTTATGTAATTTTTAAAAAGCCCTAAAGGATTTGGAATTTCTTACGAAACACATCTGTAAAAAACTTATTACTATGTATTTTAAATCTTTTATGAAACACTATTTTAGTAGATAGTAAAAATTTTCATTGTCTACTTTTTCAAAAAGCACTGCAATACAAGGCAATTTTTTTATTCTAAGAATATTTTAGTTGGAATACAAAAAAGAACATCTTATAACAGCTTCATTTAAAATTGAAGTGTCAAAATACTTGTAAGCTTCACACAGACTTTCATTCAAGACATTATCCCATTAAAGTTATTCAAAATTAAACGGAACACTTAACTTTGTGGAAGAGCACATAAAACATATAAAAGCTAAACACAAGCAATTCGAACACACAAACACAAAATACAGAACTAAGCATTTTAAAAGAATATTAAAACATCATGCAACCTAGACAAAAAGTGATTTAATTAAATACAATTTATTGCTAGTGTAAATAGGAATATAAAAAGTAATAAACACTACGATGGATTAGAAATATTTACAGATTTTGCATACATCTTTTATAAAACTAAAAGCTTACTCTTTAAAAAAAAGGATAAAAAAAAAGGCCTTTAAAGTAAAAGTATAAACCTTATCATTAAGTTATATACCAACTTTCTCCAGTGGACAGGATGTTAGATGACATACTTTCATTGAAATCTGAGAAAGGAAGAGATTTCTTGTAAGTCAAAGCATGTTACATATTTACAAGAGGCACAGAACTGACTAGGCTGAGGTAGGTTTTTACCTACATAAACCTATAAGTGCAAAGAATTTTTAAATCCCAAGCAATTTTTGTACAAATGAAAACATGTGTTTCTAATTGACAACAATATCACTTTTTCTTCATTGTCTTGCTGATTTTTTCTTCTTCGGCCAGTTGTTGACGGAAAATAGAAACTTTCTCTACAGGAAAAATATAAAAATTTAGAAATTATTTTAACATATTAAAATTAAACATACATAATAGAGAGCAGTTGACGAAATTTTACAAACCATATAAAGAACCTGATGCCATTAAATTTATCAAAATTCAAAGGATTAAATGGGTAGGCCACATAAGAAGGGAAGATAGCAGGACAACCAAAAAAGTTTTCAGGGTTAGGCCAACAGGTACAAGAAAAAGAGAACGGCTAAACTTAAGATTTTTAGACTGCCTTGAAAAGGACCTACAAGTTTTAAGGAATATAAACTGGAAAACCTTGGCTAAGGGAAGTTGAAAGCAGAAAATATATCTTTGATCTTATGGATATTATTTAGACACATATTTATAATTACAATAATTTAGTTACACAATTAAGAAAAAATATACATTTCTGTACAAATATAAAGTTATAAATTATTCAGATATAGATTTTAAAATAAATTATCTTATGATTAATACATTCCAAAACCAAATAAATAAGTTGCAAAATTATTTTAAGAAAATGCAAAAAAAAATTTTCATATGTAATAGTTACATAGTTCATAAATACTTATTAACAAATTCTCTTGTAATACGATGCTTACATAATTACAAGTGTTATATTAATAGCTCTTTTGCTAGAATGATTTTTAATAGTTACAAATATTTAGCAAAATCTAATTTACTAAAATTTCTTCAAATGTTTTGTTACAAAATAAAATGTAGAATAAAATGTAATTTACAATACAATGCCTTTAATCTTACATATAAAAAATAAAAAAAAATACATAAACTGAAATTTTAAGAATCTAAGAAAATTTTATTGGTATATAAATCAATAACACTCTGCAAGGAAAGTGTCAAGTCAGAATGGAACATTGCAACTATCAGCAAAATTAAGTTTCAGATTTTAAAGTTTTATGACACAAAAAGTAATCTTAAATTATAAATGCTACTAGAACCAATGACTAGATTTCAAAGTCAGCCCCTTCGTACAGTAAAATTCAGAAAAGTTAACCATTACAACACGAGTTGAAACCATTTTTTTTTTTAAATTTATTATTACTATTATTTTAAATCAAACATTACGGGAACACATATTCTACAAATGGTTTTCATAAATCAGGTATTTATTTTATTATAAATTTCCAATATTTGACTTTTGTAACTTATTGCACAAAAAGAAATGTATATACATTAAAAAATATTTGTCACCAAAATGTAAAAATTAGGTGTGGATCAAACTTTTATTAGGGGTGGGAGGAAATTTAAGGATAATATTAAAAGAGATGAGGGAATGCAAAGGAATTTAAATGTACAATATCTACACATGAATTATTGAAACGATGAAACTATATCTTACTTGCAAAGTCATTAAGTAAATAAAAGGTTCTTAGAACAAAATACAAGCTTATTTGTGCAGTTCAGCTTTGAAATTCTTAATATATTTTAGCCATTTGCAGTTACATGGTAGCCCCCAAACACCAATTGCAAATGAGTAGCAACAAAATGTACAACCGAAAAGGGATTAAAGGGCTATGCCTATTCATAAAATTAGCCTCTTTTTTTTTTTAAACCAGGTGCTTGGAACAAAAGTGATTTTAATGGCCTGTAATCCTAACGTGTAATGTAATTTTTGGTTAGATCAAATTTAGTAAAAAGAATTTATAATAATCTAATGTTCATTTAATGAACTCTATTTAAAAATAGATTTTAACATTTATACATTTTTAATAGTATTAAACCACTAAATTTTAAAAGGAGCATTACCATTTAACTTTTAAAGCACATCCATTTTTTCAGCAATGAGATAGATTCCAGTTGTTGAGCATAAGCTAAATAAAATATTTTAAAAAAAAATTAGCATTAAGTTACTTAATTACACATTAACATTGAAACACAGAAAGAAATATTTTATTATAATAAAAAAAGGGAAATAATTTTACTGAGATAAATTTACCAAAATTTTAATGTAAGAAAACTTTAATCTCATTCTTTGCAAAAATATTAGTTAATAGGTGTTTTAAAACATTTTTAAACACTCTGAAATGGTGGAAATAAACATAATGCTGAAATCAACACTAAACCAGATTTTTATTTCAATGAATTAATTGTTAATATAACAGTTAAAACATAGTTTCTTTGAAATATAGGCAGAAAATTATAATACTATCTCCTTTTTTATCCCCCTTTCAGTACATAAGTTATTAAAAGCTAGTTAAAAAGTTCATATGATATATATGTTACTTAAAAAAGGTAACTTAGTCAACTCTTCAAAAGGGTGTGGGAAGTATATTTATCACTGACTTCATTAGTTTTTAAAGGTCAGAGGAAGGTATTTTCATGGTTTGTGTGGCTATCAGCATATAACTTCAAAAAATACAACAAGAGAAAATAGCAATGAAGAGATTTGTTTACATAAATATGAATAATAGTAAAGGTTGGTGTGTGCTCAAGAAGAGAAACCAACAATAGGAAAGCTGTTTTCCCCTAATTTGTTGTGCATTTGATCATTTATCATAAAGCAGTAATTATGCATAAATTTGTAAATAAAATTGCATGTTATAAGCACAGAAGTTTATGTCCAATTTTTTATATTAAGCAATATTTTGAAAACCTTCCCAAAATAATAATAATTTCAAGTTTTAAGCTAAATGAATATTTTTATCTCGAAAATATTTCAACACATTATAAAAACAATGGCACAATGAAAGGTTATGTAGGAAATTTTTTTTTATAATTCTCTTTTGTTTAATGCTCTCTTGTCACATGAAATAAAGTTCTTTAGCTAACAATGTGTTGTTTTTATAACTGTTGAGTTTGTAACAGCTATTCCTGTATGTTAAGTCAAATTTTGCTCTACCCAGTCAGTATCTTCATGCTGATTATGAAACTGATAAAAAAAAAAATTCAATATGGAGAAAAACTCGTTTTTTAAAAATATTTGAAATCTTATTTTTTTAAAACATTTTATTTTAGGGTTGCATTGTTTAGACTCCTTAACCTATACAAAAAACAAGAATGGTTCTCAATACCAAATAGTACACAATTAAATCCAACTTATGGGTACTGAAATAGTGGTATTTATTTTCCTAGCCGAGAAAAAGAGCTATAGTAAACAGCCAAATATAACTTGATATTTTTAGACAAAATATGCAAATAAACAATAAAATAAATTTTATTTCATAATGAACTAGGTAATTTAAACTTAAACAAAATACAATACTCACAGTCAACATCATAATCAACATCATTAGACATAGCAAGTAATAAGTTGTCACGATTGAACCACTTTTCAGAAGCCTAGAATAAAAGATTAAATTTGTTTACAGGAAATTGCATAAAATATTTAAGTTTAATTATCTTTGAAAATAAATAACAGGGGTGGAAATAATTCTATTGAAGGGATTTTATTTTGTCTCCCAATATGGTTCAAAACCAAAATGCCTTTATTTTTAAAAATTCTATACCTGCCAACATTGGAGAAATAAAATAACTGAGATTTTACTAGTGACTTTTTTTAGGCTACGAGTAAACTTTTTGATACAACATGCAGAATCATGTAAGTCAAAAAGAGAAATTCAAAATTGAAAATAATACAGGCATTTACATTTAGCGAAGTAAAAAATATGTATATAAATCTTAATCTAAAGATTTTTTTTAAACCATTATTTATAATTACTTAAACTATTAACACTTAACATTCTGCAGTTCTGGCAATAGTACTATCTGTTGAGGAATAAGAGAAATATTTTTGCCATCAACTAATATTTTATCGCCAAAAATTTTTTTAAAAAATTTCTTCAACAAATAAAGAGATATTTGAGAATATACAGGTAAGCAGGAGAGAATGGTAAAATTCAGGAGTCTTCATTAAAAAAGGGGAGACTTGGCAGGTATGAAATTCGTAAAATATGCAGTAGGCATAGTTTTCTTTCCTTTTATGCAGTCTTGAACTGAATTTCATATGCAATTGCTAATTTATTATTGTTTACGCACACATATTTTAATTTTTTGCTGTACATTAGATAGTATAACAATATTTGTCGTCTAGACAGGATACTTATTCTGGTAATGAAAGTGATTTTCATATTTATATGTTTTTTTTGTTTCATTAAATAAAGTTATAGTTTTTGATAAATTGCAAAACAAGTGTCTTCCTAATTATGCTGTAGTATGCAGCCTTGTTAAAATATGCACAGCACATTAAAGAAAACTAATATTTGTACAAATGACCAATGATTGAAGCACAAATTTACTTATATATTGCTATTGCTGCAGAAGTTAATAAAAATTTTCTAAAATAGTAAAACATTCATATTTAAGGGTCATATAAATCCTTAGGCTCTTTTAAAGAAAAAGGAAAATAAATATTACACAACAAAGCTAAACAGATGAATTTTCTAAGATAACATCGGATTGTAAGTAATTTTATAACATTCAAAAACTATAATGCTTAAGTTAAAAACTAAACATTTTTTACAGCTACAACTATTAAAATGGATCCACATACTTCTATCACAGCTTTATGAGAATCTAGGACCTCTTCCTCCATTTCTTGAACGTGAGAAATAGCTTCATGAAATGAATAAAGATCTGCAGAAAGTTCGCCTTCCTATGAAATAAGATTGGAATTAAAAATAACATTTCATGTAACTTTAGATAAAGTGAATAAGGTATAGGCAAAAAAAAAAAAGTCATCCTAAATAACTCTTGACTTAATAATCAGAGTACTCTAAGAGGATCACTGGGTCTCAAAATGTTAGCAGAAATAATTAAATATAAACGAAACTTACATATTTGGTATATATTGATTTTTTCTTTTTTTTACTTTTAACTATATTTCTAAAATAAAAAAGCATATATAATTTTGGGAAATGTCCTCTTATGTACTTAATTTTTTTTTTTTTTTGTCACTGAAGAAATAACTGTAAATAGACTGAAGTAAGGATATTTATAATGCTGCTATAAATTGGCAAGAGAGGTAAGTTCACACTGAGATATATCATATGAAGATTGAAACAGATTTTTTGAATTTTTATTCTAATGTTTGCAATGTTCAATAAATACTGCAATGTTATTAGTAACTATTGATAAAAGCATTTTTTTAAAATCTGACACAGGATTGTTTCAAAGTAAAACAAGATTCATGAAAAACAAAAATCCTCCTAAAAATGAAATTACAATTCAAAATTTAACAATTAAAATATTTTTAAAATATTTTTTAACAATGCTTACATTAGCAGAACAGAGAAGGGCAAGATCATCATTTTGATTGTTTTGCTCATCACCATTAGAATTTTTTAATTCCGGATTTTCAGCACCTAATTCCTTAACTCTAAAAAAACAAAACATCCATTTTCAAAATGAAATCAACAATATTTTAATAAATCACATTATTATAAAGCTTGTAGTCTCACCGGTCAGCATAGCGAAGAGTGTTTAAGGAATGTTCACAAGAGTTCATGCCAGGGGAAATCATCGCAATCTATAAAATAAAAAGAAAATTGAAGCTCTTTAATTAAAAATATGTTGAATTTTTTCCTAAAAAATTTTGTTCATTTCACCGATTATGTAAAAATTTTAGTAAATTCTATAGATAAATCAAGATTTGAACTCTGGTAAAATACAATTGAAACTTACCATACACGTTCGAGAGTTTTCTCCAATAAAAGAATCTTTGAGAACCTGAGTTAATTTGCTAGCACGGAATGGTAGGTGGGCACCTTTCCTACCTAGGGCTCTTATGCACTCCTAATAAAAATAAAATCATGAATAAAAATTGGAGAAAAAAAAAGTAAGATAATACTAATACATAGCTGCCAACATTGGGTTTTCAAAAAAAGGAAGATATTAAAAGCTGTAAAAATTCAACGTAGCAATCTTGAATTTTACAAAAATAATCAGCTTGTAATATTTTCTCTAGCATCTCATCACTAAGAGATCACCTAAACTGTGTTCTTGTTTTTTTAACCTGGCTGAACACACGTTCATATTCTGCATTTGAATGTGAGAGAGATAACACAGATAACATAAATTTAGCATGCTGATAATAATAAGTTTTAACATGCCGATAATAAGTTTTTTCAGACATCAGAAATTCAAAAATAGTAGCAAGCTAAAAAGATTCAAAGAAGCAAAAAAATGCATGCGATTTTTTCACGATAGTAAACATTTGCTCTTGCTAAATGCCGTCAACTGAATTTGTTTTTAAAAAAATTAATCTGCGTTTGGTAGACGAGTGAAACATTTTCTCCCGGATCGATATTTAGGGAGCTTTCTCACCGTCAATCAGATCACCGACTGTGTTTCAACTTTTGCGTCGAAACTTTTATTTTCTCCCTTGTTTGAGCATGTGCCGAGAAGATGCAAGAACTTGATTCCTGCTCTAAAAAATGCGTTCGGGTACAAATTCGGATCATGACTCTGTGGTAAAAAATATGAAAAAAAAATGGGAAAAATTTTCTTTCTTAAAATTGAGGAAAATCGGAAGATTAAAATAAAAAAGAAGGCAGAAGTTTTGATAAAAAACCGGAAATCTTCCGGCTAATCCGGGAGAGTTGGCAGCTATGCTAATATATCATTGAGTAGGACAAATGATATTAAAGTTTTACTTGATCTCTCACCACTCAAATATTAAAAATATTTCACGCTTTTACATTATGCACAGGCTTTCGTCCTATTTCGCAAACAATTAATATTTCAATTAAGTTAAATCATATTTCAAGTAATTAAAAATGAATTTAATCATTAAAAATGAAATAATTTATTTTTAATGAATTAGAAATTAATTTTGAAAAAGAAAATGTAAATCAAGGCATTTAAATGTATGCTTCGTCTGTTAGGAACTTAAAATAAGGCCGTTAAATCCGTTAGTTAGGCCTATTTCAACATTTTACTTTAATTTTTAATCATTAAAAATATACTTTAAAAAAATTTAGCACTTTATCAAAAATGTCACAAAAATAGGCATTAAAATAAGAATTTGGTATTGGTATAAAAAATGGAACTTTAATAAGTCTTACTTTTGCTATGTTTGAATACAACAGGAATTCAATGTATACAATTCACAGGATTTTTAATATGACACTGATTTTATATCACTATAATCCAAACAATAATTAAAATTTCTAATTTAGGCAAAAAAATTTCTGAGACTTGAATGAAACAGCAGAAAACTAAAGTATTTCAAATTAATTTTCATTTTATTTTTTTAAGTTAAATAAATAATTCATACTTTTTATTTATGTTAAGAATATAGTTTCCAATAAACAATTTAAATGTGAAGTCAATCAGAAAAGATTTGTTTGAGTAATGAGTTCACCTAACTTAAAAACTTAGCATTAAAAAAATAAATTTTTGAAGTTTTCTCACTGCACAAATATGTGAAATTCAAGTATTTAGATATTATTCCTGGCCATAAAACTTTGAATATATCATTCTTAGGAAAAACCACATCTTAAAATAATTATACTACATTAAATGAAAAACCTACTTTTAATGCAAGTAAACTTTTACTGATTTCAGCACCTTCTATTCGCGTCTGCCTATTTGCGCTGGATGTGTCAGCACCACGTTCATTGCCAGCTAAATCAATTAGAGAGAACTTCCCATGCAATCGTCCATTAGGCCTTATATGGATAAAAAAATTATTATTAAAGTAATTTAAATCTATAAGCAAGCAAGTGTAAAGAGTCGCTTTATTATAAAAATTAATAAATAATTTTACTTCTTTAATATTATTTGAAAGACTGCATGAGACCTAGAGGAATGTTGATTCGCTGAAGTTTGTCCAGAAGTCCTACAATTGAGGAAAATAAACTTACACAATAATTCAGAGTTAATGTAATGAACATCAATTCAATGTATTAAAAGTCAATCAGGGTGCCTAGGCAAATGCTTCAACAAAAAATTAACATCTTTAAAGCACATTTTAAGGACTTAAATGTTTTCTTTCTAATGGAGATAAAGACTGTGCTTTACCAACAATGAAATTAACAAGAGAAATAAAATATTCTTTTGCTGATAGGGGGGGAAATCGGCAATGTTTAATTGGTCCCTGTGATCAGCGAAGACTCAAGAAATTTTTCGATTAGATTTTAAAGGGCTTATAATGCCTGAAATTTAGAATCTATTGCAAAATGCAGCAAACGAAATTGTGCAAACCCACAAGTATTTCATCGAACATATAAAATGATTGGCACTCCCAAACGCTACGAACTGACGGTATGCCAAAAAGGATTGTGAAAACGTTGAATAGAAAAATATGAAACCACGCTTTTTGCATAATTCGTTGCTGAAATCAACACGGTAAAGAAAAAATCTCATTTTGGAAAAGGGAAAATTACGCACTTTTTAAAAACACCCAATGAAAAAAGCACTTTTAAGGACTTTAAAAAAAAGAAAATAAGCACCTTTAAATAATGCTATGTGCTCTATCAATTTAAATTTAATCCACTTAGATATTAATCTTTACAGACTTACCAAATCCCTTTATTTTCATCTGCCAATAAATTATTTAACATTGATAATAGGAACTTGCTATTTATGCTTAAAAATTTTTTTTATAAACGTTTAAGATTAAATTTCCAGACTATTTTAATTGTATATTCTATAAAAGCAATAATGTTCATTCTGGTTCNAATCTCATCCCCGTATAAAGGTCAACCAGTTTTATCCCAAGGAAATGATTTTTAGAGAAACTTCAGAGGGAGGAAAAGGGACTTCTACAATTTCCCTTCGCGGAAAATTAAATTCCTCATAAAACATTTTAACTTGGGCAAAAAAATTTTCAGCGGAAATTAGCGGGAAAAATGGAAAAATCTGAAAAAAAGCGGAAATCCGCTGAAGAATCTCATCCCTGCCATACGCTACGGACCGACGGTATGCCAAAATGGATTGTAATTGAATGAAGTGTGAAAATGTTGAATAGAAAAATGTGAAACCACGCTTTTTGCATAACTCGTAGCGGAAATCAACACGGGAAAAGAAAAAATCTCATTTTGGAAAAGGGGAAATTAAGCACTTTTTAAAAACACCCAATGAAAAAAGCACCTTTAAGGACTTTAAAAAAAAGAAAATAAGCACCTTTAAGTTCTTAAAAATGCTATGCACTCTATCCATTCAAATTTAATCCACTAGAAAATATAGATTAGTATTTTACTAAGTTTCCCCCCCCCCCCTCACATTAGAATAACTTCAGCTGCTCTGAGAATTTCAGCTTCAAACTTAAATTTATAACTCATTTTAGAAATAAATATTAAAACAAACATATTTTCAATTGACATTTTTTAGAGATTCTCAACCATGAAAATAAAATAAGTGAGATATTCAGTTGGAAAATTTAATCTGAAAATTCATAAAATGCCATAAAAACCCATAATAGATTTAAACTACTGCAAATAGCAAGTCAAGTAGTGTTTTTTTTTTTTTTTTTTTTTTTTTTTTTTTTTTTTTTTTTTTTTTNTTTTTTTTTTTTTTTTTACTGAAGAATTTTTTTTTTTTTTTAAATATACTTTAAGCAAGACATAAAATCCAGTCCTTAGTGGAAACTAGCTCAAATAGAATTGTTCTCAATTGTTAGATATATAATAAAAATGTATATTTTAAGACAATTTAAATTAAGAAAGCTTATTTAACAACTAAAAGTATTGTGCTGATGTTTGACATATTACAGTTTGATTGCCACATATGTAATTAAAATTTAACACTGCAGATTTACCAAATCCCTTTATTTTTATCTGTCAATAAATAATTAAATATCAATAATAGAAACTTGCCATTTATGCTTAAAATTTTTTTTATAAACGTTTAACATTAAATTTCCAGACTATTTTAATTGTATATTCTATAAAAGCAATAATATTCATTCTGGTACAGTTTATAACCTTTTGTTTAAGCCTGGTACAGCAGGTGGACCAGAATTGCAAACTATATTATACTAAATGCAGTAAACAAAAGGGTAAACAAGAATATCCACACAATATGAAATAAACTACAGATTTTCTAAAATCTTGTTAGAATTTAACATTTTTGAATTAACAGTTTTAAGGTTCCTTTAAAAAAAATTTTTAAAAAAAACTGTAATTATTTTTGCATATATATAAAGAGAGAAAATATTTCGAAGCAAGACATACGTACCTTACACTATTTCCATGAGTTATTAGCTCTAGTACATTTTCAACAGAATGGACTTCTCTTTCTCTTAAACCTACAATTTGAACTTGCTGCTTACCATCCTCTAGAACTCTCAACTTTGATTTATTATTTAAGAGATCAAATACCTATTAAATAGAAAATATACTGAAAAACTGCTTAAAAGAAAGAAAAAAAAAACGAAGAAACTAATTCTTTTAAATAACACAAAGTTTGAACTAGGAGGCATAACCAGACTATAAAATAGTAATAACTGGAATTTATTAAAAATCTGTACAAAAAATTATCTTCAAAAATGTTTATACTAATTGTTGCTGCAAGTAATTATGTTTACAAGATTAATTAGACAAGTGAACCACTTTCTGAATAATGATAATTATTTAAATTAAAAATATAGTGCACACATGAATCATTAAAAAAAAATATTATGTATATTGCCCATCAACTCAGATATTATGAACATAAACTTTAAACAAAAACCTTGAGAATAGTAAACCATATATACTAATAAAATTGATTATCACTTGAAAAATTGTTTCAAAATCTTTAGAAAATTATGGTTACTATAGTTAAATGTTGGATTTTGGCTGTTACTTACTCTGGGTTTGATATTATAAAAATTAAAAATAGGAGGTAATTTTTAAAAAAATTTACTACAGTAGAAGTCCATTAGTCCGGCATCCAACAGTCCGGAATGCCCGATAGTCCGGCATCGCTCCGGAAAATTGTAAAAATTTTGGTTTTCTCCAAAAGTGTGTCTTTAAAGCAAATAAAAACGCTCGAGAGCTATTCGGAAGTTTTCGGGGTAGTTCGGGATCATCCGGAAGAGCTCGGTACTAAAGCCATCTTTCTTTTGGGCAATTGCAAAGCCCACTCACCAGTAGATGAGACAGTTTCTGGAAATATTGTTGCTACTCTGCTCCCACCTAACGTAACATCTTTGATTAAACCCATGGGTTATTCAAAATTTTAAATTCTTTAATAGAAGATCTTTTATTCAAGGCCTGTTAAATGCCGACTGTGACGTGACTGATTTTCAAAAAAAGTTTACAGTAAAAGATGCCGTCTATGCTATTGCACTGTCTTGGAACCATGTAAAAAATACAACACTCCAAAAATGCCAAAAGAAAACAAAGGACATTCGTGACTTTTTTAAATCTAAGTGAAATAGGTTTCACAGTACGCGTACATACATTATATTAAATGTAAAATAAACTTCGTTGTATGTATTTGCTAGTTTAATTATTAACCGAATTGTTCGTATAATTACCGCCCGATAGACAGGAATTTTCGGTAGTCCGGCACCGAGCCGGACCCGAACGTGCCGGATTATCGGACTTCCACTGTACATAATTTAGTATTGTAATTTAAACCTATTTACATAAATTTCATCTCAAAAGACAAAAAGCATTCTAATAGACTGTATTCTTTTGAAGTATTTCTTAAAAGAAAAAAAAGAATATAACTTTCAGACAGGTTTGCCCTTCAAAACTGTTCACTTACTTTTCCACTGTATATTTCAAAGAAACTACAATTTACTGAAAGACCTTCATGCATGTACTGTGGACTCTTCAACAGACTAAACACTTCACGAGCTATAATAAATAAAAAATATATATTAAAATGTGTTAAAATATGATATATTGAAACTTTGTAATTAATTTTACATACAAGAGGAACTAAGCCATAATTTGTAAGACTATAACTTTGTATGTTATGCTAAATGTAGAGTTCAAAGATGCAAAAGCTGTAAATGGTTAAACTGCTTGAACACAAATGTCATTGTCTACTAAATGTATCATAATTAAATGAAACAATATTTCAGGCTTTGTAGAGGGCCAAAACTAGTATCGGCAAAAATTTAAAAGTCTACTTTAGAAAGGGCAAAACAACACACTAAAAAAAAGGAATAATTTGAAAAACTTAAGTATAACAAAGTAATGGAGCACTGAATTATTCTTAGAAATTTTTTATAGTACTGTTTGATTAAGAAAAACCTGGAATCAATTACTTAATATTTCCTTGTAGAAATATTAAATAAAAATTTGTAATTGAATTTTGCAATCAAATGATTTTGAATTAGGATTTCATTAATTTTGAAATAAAACACAGTGGTTAGATTGCTGAACATTTTTGTACTACAGTAATTGAGAGAATGTTCGACAGAGAATGTTCCCCCAATTAACCATTCAAAAATTTTATATGATTATTGCAGATTAGAATCCATCATTTTTAAAATAAGATGTAAGAAACTATTCAATAAATGAAAAATAAAAAACTACCTTATGAGATTTGTAATTGCATTTGCTGAAAAAAATATATGTTAAGACTTCTAAATTCATCACCATAAAAGATGTTATTTGATAATTTTAATTTTCTTTCTTCATAAAATGAAGAAATTTTCAAAAAATTATGAAGAAATAAATCTTATGGGTCTTATAATCTGAGGTACCTGAACCTGGTTACTAAATTTGAAAAATTGAATTTTGAGCTTTTTACTAGCATCATTAATTAAATTAAAATGATGCTAGATCTAAAATGCAATTTTTCCATTTGACAAACTGATTATTTTAAAATTAATATTTGTAGAAAAGAGTATGTTCTGAACACACATAAAAATCTGGAATATAATATCAAATAAGGAAAAAATATTTTTTATCGTGAAAATTAGCAATATCATGTGTACCCAGGTGTTTTGAACAAATTCTGACTCATGTGGAAAAGGAAGATTTAACTGATCATATCTGAATTTTCTTGAATAAAAAAGGCAATCAACGATTTCCAGAGAGAAGCTTATTATATCAAACTTGCAAATAATTTATCACAAAATTAAAGGAGTCATTTATACATCAAAAAGGTCAAAGATTTTTTCAGCTTAGATTTTCATCATTAAAAAATTTCTAGGAAGTTCATAATGCTTAGTTAAAAAAAAAAGAAAAAATATAAGTGGAAAATGTATAAACAAAGATAATTTAAGAACATAGTAAAATAACTTTTAATATATGCAAAATGTTTAATACCGTCGAATTCACTTATAACGAGCTCTGATTTAATGAATAACTTGAAAATATTTAGTTGATACAATGTTAAGTCAATTAAAGACTAGCTCATTTTTAACAAGCAAACTCTTGTTTTAGTGAGCAATATTTTAGTGATTTACAAAATTTGCTATATACTTCCACCTCTTCAGATTAGCTAATTGAAAAAATTTATTTAACATTCCGAAATCTCCTTAATGTTAGTATCATAAATCCAGCAGACAAATGAACTTTTAAAGAAAGAAAAAAAGAGTGCAAATTATGTTTTTCGTGCCTTGAGTCATATCCAAGAACAATAACGCATCAAAGAGACGATAAGAGAGTTTAAAGCAAATTAACTATCCTCTTTTGTATTACACAGAAATATAAAAAAAAGCAAATAAAGTAGACATTTTATTAATAATTTATTTAAGTATATAAGTTTAATATTTTATATATTATATAAGTATAATAATAAGTATATATAAACTTTTTTTTTACAAAACTATTTCATACAAGCACTCAGTCATAATGAGCAAATACTGCTGTTCCTTCTTGTTCGTTATAAGAGAGAATACACTGTATACAAATGAATACATAATAAGCATAAGCACAAATTAACACTAAGAAAATACATACTGGATAAAGCATATATTCCTTTGCTGCAATCTTGTGAAGATTTTGTAATGAAATCTCCAGCCATTGTCTGAAAAGAAAGAAATATTCATATTAATTTCATATTTTCAACAAACAAAATTCTAAACATAATATTAGAAAAATTCAACTTTAAAAAATTCGGCTTTATTTTTAAAAAAAAAAAAATCATTTTGTAAATTTAATTAACAACTAAATTGAAATTTTTTTTTATACTTCTAATGCAGAATTGTATGAATATATCCATTAACCACAAATTTGCTTTTCTAGTTTAACTTTTTGACTCCTGTCCATGTTTACAATAAACAATGAAGAAGACTGAAATTTACTATTTTTACAAGAAATATTGCTGATAGAAACAAGAAATATAAAAATGTTTACAAGAAATATTGTTGATGCTCGGTGGCTGAGCGATAGCGCTTCGCACTGTCGTGCCACAGGTCTCTGGTTCGATCCTCGGGCCAGGCAAGGCTGACTCAGCTTTTCATCCCTTCAGTGGGATGATAAATGAGTACCAAGCATGCTTGGGAACTGAACACTGGGGGCTCCGCGTTCGGCTGACCACCTAACCGGAACATCTGCTCCTCCACCCCAGAGCCCAAGGTCAAGAAAACTGAGATGGGCACAGTAGGCCTTGGCCCTCTATGGGCTGTCGCACCACTGAGTATAGTTTAGTTTATTGTTGATAGAACATGCATCACTGAATAACTCCATATTTTGGGAGTCTGGAATAATAATCCACCGAGAAAGAAAATGTTTATTCAGAGAAAGTATACTTTTATGTCTTATTTTGCAACTTAAAATATCATCTGCATTTATTAATTAGTATACTGAGGTCACCACCATGAACCAGGAAGACTGAGCCTGAGAATATGAAAATGTGATCCTTAGATCAAAAGTTAGAGTGTACCATTTATTTATTTTCCCACTATATACAAACATAACTTATAAATCATGATTACAATATATTCCCTGATAAATAAACTAATCATAATTTGCAAAAAAAGATAAATGTTTCAATCAGTTATTAACTTTTTTAACCATCAATTGAAATGTTTAATGATGTTATTACGAGGGTGTTACGAAAAGTAAAGATACACCGTACGCCAGAGGAAAAGAAAAGTTTTGGCGAGCAAGTTGGCAACACAAGTTTTAACATTGAAGCGTTAGCTTTCTTCTCGCGGTCGTTCGGCATTTTAACGTTGATTCTGGTTGGAGTAGGTCGTGTTTAAAATGGCTGCGTCGATTCAGAATCCCGCCAAATGCGCAAGTGCGTCATACGTTTTCTTCATGCAAAAGGTCAGAAACCAGCAGATATTCACAAAGAAATTGTTTCTGTTTATGGGAACGTTATGAATAGACAGAATGTAACGAAGTGGTGTCGTCATTTCTCTGAAGGTAGGACCGATATTCATGACGAACAAAGAACAGGTCGGCCATCTGTGATGCCCTTCTTCAGAGAACGGAGGAAGCAATTCGTGCGAATAGACGTCTCAAATTGAGAGAATTGCGTCAGATCATACCGGAAGTGTCAATGACAACTCTTTATGAAGTTGTGACTGTCAAGTTAGGGTACAGGAAATAGTGTGCGCGCTGGGTTCCAAAAATGTTAACAGAAGAACACACAAAAAAAAAAGGGGATGGGCTTTGCACTCTACTTCCTCACACGCTATGCAGAAGCAGGTGATGAGTTCCTTGATCACATTGTGACAGGTGACGAGACGTGGGTTTATCACCATACACCTGAATCCAAGCAACAATCAATGCAATGGCGCCATTCGAATTCATCCAAAGCCAAGAAATTCAAAACTTCGATTTCAGCGAAAAAAATCATGGCTTCTGTTTTTTGGGACAGACAAGGCATTCTTCTGTTGGAATTTATGCCTCCCGGAACGACAATTAATACTGCTGCATATTGCCAGACTTTGAAACGTCTTCGAAGGGCAATTCAAAACAAACGCAGGGGAATGCTGACAAATGGAGTCCGCTTGCTTCATGACAACGCTTGGCCTCACACAGCGCTCGTAACCAAAGCACTACTCAAACAATTCAAATGGCAAGTATTGGACCATCCGCCATACAGCCCGGACCTTGCACCCAGTGACTTCCATTTATTCCTTTACCTGAAGTCACATCTTGGTGGAAAATCATTCCACGACGATGATGAGATCAAAGATGAAGTTGAAATGTGGTTCCGACAACAGGCGGCAACCTTCTATGACTGTGGGATACAAAAGCTTGTGCACCGACTTAACAAATGTTTGGATAACGGGGGTGATTATGTCGAAAAATAATAAATAATCGAGTTAATAAGACGTAACTGACGCTTTCAAATTAAATGTTTTTTTTAAGGAATGCGATCCATTGTATCTTTACTTTTCGAAACGCCCTCGTATTAACATTTAATACATTTTTAGAATAAATTTCTTAATATATGAACAAAATGTTAATTTTAGAATATATAACAGTTTTTACACATCTAAAATCTAGTTCATGTAGTTCCGCATCAATCAAAACATTTTCAAATTCAAGTCATTCAAACTGAAAAATAAATTAATATAGAGTGCCTTGAAACTAGTGTTTTGTAATTGTATGCCTGAGGAAAAAAGGAGTAAAAGAAAATTAAATTTACACATAATGGAACAAGATAAGTTTTTTTTTAATAATATTGTTTTTTTCTTTTCAATTATTAAAGAAACAAAAAAATTGGAAAAATTGCAATTTTACATATATTTAGTTATAATTACTTAATATTTATAACAAATAATGAATTTCTACATCAAAACTTTGGCTTTTGAAGAGTAATTGTCAAAAAAAAGAGGGTTTACTGTCAAAATGATTAAAGAACATAATTGATCACATGTAATTTCGATATACTTTTATTTATTACTTTATATTTACTGTATCTCATAATTACTTTCTGCCCAAAATTGTGGGAGTTTGACAATTGTCAAAAAGGGGGTTTTGACATCTCAGTTAAAAACATAGTTTAAACGGGGAAAAACATTCATTTGCTAAAAAAAATAATAATAAATAAATAAAAAATGGAAGCATACATTTCTATAAAAAAAAAATTTCAAGATAAATATAAAAACTCTCAAAAAAGAACTGAAAAAACTGAGGCTTGTCTTACATGAGTTTTTCCACTACCAGTTTGACCATAAGCAAAGCAAGTAGCCATTCCACCTTCAAAAAGAGTTTGGACCAATGGTCTTGCAGTAAACCTGTTAAATACATTATTTTGTTGAATACTTATAGCTTGATTTAAAAAAATAGAACCATTAACAGACATAAAACTGAATAGAAAAATAAATCAATAAAGTGAAATAATACGTTAATGGCAAACCAATAATTTTGTTTGAAAATTAGATAATTTTTAAATGTGGTTAACTATGAAAGTGTGATTACACTTAAAAGTATTTTGAAAATTCACTAACAGATTTTTTATTTCAAAGTGCATAGATAAACACTTTCAACTGTTCAAACAATTTTCTTTAGAGTAATTAAATCAATTTACTAAATATTCAAAATGACAATTTTTTTGTGAGCTCATACAAATATTTTTATTTGATAAAAGAATAATCAAGTGGAGAAAGAATTCCTTCTTTAAAGTTATTTAACTTCACAGAAATTTAAGAAAAAAATTTTATGTTGAAAACTAGAATAAAAAGTTTGAACTGGTATGAATAGACCAAAAACGTTTATTCAAATTTGAACAGTAAAAGAAATATTTCTTCTTTAGATCTAAACTAAGCTATATACATAATTTTTTTTTTAAAAAAACTACCAATTTAAAAATAACAGGCTCACATATACTGCAAAATTTTGAAATAGAAATTGCTAATTGAATTAAAAATTGCATTAGCAATATGTAATATTTGATTCATTTTATATTCGCTTTTAACTAAAAATGAAAAGGTATAAACTTAGTTAAACGTATACATTTCATTTTGTTTTTCTATATGTGATAATAGTATATGTGTTATCTTTAATTTATCTTTTGTAGATAAAACTTAGAAAAAATAAGAATTAAAAAATCTTTTATGAGGGGAAGATGTCTATTATCAATGTATAAAATTTCATTAAAGAAATATTGCACATAGTGGTAAAAATTTGTAGCATAAAAATTTTTAAAAAATTCTGAGATTACTCAAGATAAAAAAATTGCATTTTCTAATATCATAAGACATTCGAGACAAGTATATTTTTATCAGTGTATTTTCCTTTGGCATCAAAATAAATTGATATTTTTTATTCTAAAATTTTAATATTAATGATTAAGACTCAATAATCAAAGCAAAATAAATAAAATATTTGTATCTTTTTCCTGGTGACACAAATTGTGGCAAATTATTTGAGTTCTATGCACTTTTTCTCCAACAGATAAATGTATTTTCATTTGTGAAAATGAATTGATATTTTCAAAATATAAAATAATGCAAACTTCAATAACAATAATAAGCACTGTTGCAAGATGAAATAAATAAAAAATTTAAAATTTTATTATAAATTATCAAAATATAAAACATACTTAAATACTGGATATATCTCTTTCAATTTAAGTAAGGTGCATAAAAAAGAAGTGAAGAAATATTAAATCTTTTGTAAAGTAATTTGCGGAGAGAGAGAACATTTTATACACAATATTATTTATATTTGTTTTAAAATAAATTTCAGTCTAACTTGCAAATAGATAAAATGGAGAAAAAAAGTAATTGATTATTAACTTTGGAATACAGATCAATAAAAATAATGTATAATAATCAAAATCTATGTAAAAAGTCTATTCTTACCTATATACAATTTCATTATCTGCATTCTCATCAAATGCATAATCGAACCTGAATAACTGGTTTTCTAAGTATTTGGTTAAATCTACTTTAGTTCTAGGCTCATGGACAACTATATGTTCTTTGTTAGGAACAGTAATAACATCTACTTCTCTTTTCATTGATTCTGAAACAATAAAACTATTATTACTCAAAAGAAAAAGTTTAATAAAATCATATAAATTAATTTTATTCAAAAACAATTACAAGGGTTTATAAACAATTATAAAAATAATTTAATTGTACTTTTTTTATTTTGTATTTTCTGATATCTTTTTAATGAAGTTGAAAATTCAAACTTCACATTGGTTTAAATCTAAATAATATTTTGAAGACTCATAAAGAAAAAAAAAATACATGCGACTGCCGAAAGGTTTTACAGAGCAATCCATCAATTACTTTTTCTCTTTTTACTGTATTTTGTACATCTTTTAATACAGAAAGACAATAGATGTGGTGTCAAATCATTACTTACAAAAATAAATAAAAGAATCCAGTAGATTTTTAAAAAAATCGTACTCTATGAATGTCTGCAACCACTAGGAAACAGCAAAATACAAGTAAAACAAGGGGGAGCAAATATTTTAAATGGTTTCTTTTTTATTCAGTATTATTTAGGAGTTAGTTTGAATATTAATACTTAACAGTATTGTTACAAAATTATTATTTGATTACAAATATTCAATGCCAATTGTAACTATGTTTAGTATATGATTTGTTAATTCAGTAGTATTAATATGCATTGACTATGTTATTTTATAATATAAAATAAAGTTTTACTATACTAATTTTTAAATTATTTAAACTTCTTAAGAAATTTAAATTCATTTTCTTTTTAATAATTACTTTTATTATAAAAATATATATTAATTAGTTTAAAAATTATTATTAAAACTAGATAGCAATTTTAAATGGTTTTC